CTTGAGCTGACGCTTGATAGAGTTGCTCATGATGTCCTTGGCTGTTTTGTTATCAACAGCTCTGTTGATTGGAGCCACTACCCAGACTCCCGAACAGCACTTGATGTACTCGCTTGCTACTGCAGCTCTGGCTGCATCCCAATCCTGGTGGCCGGGCTACCAGACCTGATGTCAGCTACCTTCCATAAAATCGAGTTCCACCAAAAGAATAACATACCAAGTCTACGATTGTGACACCGTTAGCGAGCACTCTGGCTTTGGTAAAGATTCTGACAACCTTCACCAAAGGCCAGTATGCCGCCGTCTCATCATCCTTGTCGTTCGAGTCGACGTAGGGCTCGAGTTGCTCGCGGATATCCTGCGTATTGCCGCTTTTCACCGTCATGGTGGTACCTAGAAGGTGGTTCACGCTTGGATGGGTAGCCAGCTGGGCCGAAGTGCTGCTAGTCAAGTGTTCCAGGCTCAATGAAGGATAGACCGCTTGAACTTTCGCTAAAGCTTTCGCTGCATCGCTTTCCGGGTCCAAATCATTTCTCTCATCAGTCTCTTCAGCGAGGAATTCCATGAGCAGTATGTTGACTTCCTTGGACCATTCCTCTCGAGAGATGAACTCGACTTCCGCGCGGTATGGGTTCTCTTCGTCTTCATCATTGTTGTAAGACACCTCGGTGGCGACAGCGGTGCACGCGCGCATACAGTTCGTGGGAAGTAAGCTAAGAATAATCAGCTGGGTTCCATCTTGCGAGATGAGTGTTCGATCATACCTCTCTTCATCTAGTAGAGCATTGATGGTTGAGCTTTTGCCATCTCCCGTATTGCCCAGGACACCAATGACAGTTCGATGGGACCGCTTCGCCTGATCACGAAGATCAGAGATTTGGTCAACCCAGTGAGCCGCTGCCTTCGTCAGAGCAGGTTGAAGCTTGCGAGAGGAAGAAATGGTCTCGCAAGCTGGCTGGAGTACGTCCAAAAGCGGAAGAACCTTTTGGTAAAACAGCTGCCAAAGATCTGGGTCTTTAACTCTTCTCATCTTTTCCATGTATGAGAATGTCAGTAGAGCACACTGCTCAGTAGATCTTGATCTTGCGTTGAGAGGGGCATCTGTCGTAACCTCCTCATGCTGCTCGCCCTTCACTTTGATTTCTTCTTTGAAGGGAGCATCTGGTTTGATGTCATCATGCTGCTCTTTCTTCACTCCAACAACTGCCTGACTGGGGTCCATTGTGCAACTGGGAAGGAAGGTATCTTAGCTAGATTGAGCCTGAAGTAACGCCTCGTGATTCTGAAGACTCGCAAAGAAGAAAAAGAAAGTTGCTTGTCCAAATGAAGATAGGCGCCAAATCAGAAAGATGATGTAGAATTGGCTCGCCTAAGACCCCAAGGTGCGATGCCAGATGTTGACGATGATGAGGAATATGAAAGGTAGTATGGTTGAATGAAGAGTAAGAAGAAGAGAATGTTGAACTTGGAGGAATTTGGGGAAAGGTACTTAAGTTGACGAAGTGGTTGGGTTGAAGTTGTCTGGGGGAAGTGAGGCTGAGAGTATCGGTGTGGTTAAATACCTGTTGTAACTGGGAATTGCCTTCGAAGTCTGGCAGGATGTGAACGAAGGAGCAATGGAACCTAAGCAAGTGTAGGCAGCAAGTACCTTACCTCGAAGAGACAAGGAATCTCAAAGGTTTCGAGAGAGACATGGAAGGTTCGACCGACGTCCGAAGAAATACCAAGAGGGATCTGAAAGATAATGTTAAAAGTTGCAAGACCGTCTTTCGGTAAGGTAGAAGTTGGGGCTCAAGTGTCAAGTCGATTTTCCAAGATATCCAGGGCTCAAGTGGGAATAGCCTCAATTCTTATATGGACCATGAGGAAGGTTGCCGCGACTGGCTCTGGATCGGCTCACTGTACAGTCTAATTTTGCTACCGGTGGTTCTTTCCCTTCTCGAGTCCTTCCTATTTCGCGGTGCTGGATGAAGAAGGCATCAACACATTCACCACGGTGAAGCGAATCCCTCACCGTCCCTTGACCGAGTACACCGAGATAAGATAAGTGACCAGGGGCGGTGTGGAAAAGAACTCATATCAGATCTTATCAGATCCTTCCCAGCGCAACCCCACCATGCGAACCCCGCGGTCCGCAATCCGCAGCGACGCAGGCCGAGGCGGGCTGCCCCTCACCAGCAAAGCCGACCATATCCCTCCCTCACACCACCCGAGTCAATAACGACACATTGCAACGACACACATAGGCGCAAACGGATTTCCTCTTTAGCAAAGCATTTTGAGCATACGGAATTGGGCGCAAACGCAAGGATAGAAACATCACAATCATGGCGCAAACTGCAAATCAAGTAGCAGGCGGAGGGGAGCTCTTCGTCAACGGGCGCATCTTTCTGCACAACGCCGAAGCCGGCCTTGAGACACAGCCCGCCTTTGCCGAGAGCATGTTCGTCGCCAACGGCATTATTGAGAACATTGGCACAACAGAGGACCTTAAGGCAAAACACACATCGGGAGAGGTCACCACGCATGACTTGGAAGGCAGAACAGTCCTGCCGGGCTTCATCGACGGCCACGTGCATCTCCTCCTCCTCGGCCAGTCGCTGCGCAAAGTGAGCCTCGAAAATTGCACGTCACTGGAAGAGATACGCGCCGCCATCAAGGCATACGCCGTCGCCAACCCGGACGTCCCGCGCATCATGTGCAAGCTGTGGATGCACTCCATGACTCCCGACGGCGTCGACAAGACCATGCTTGACGACATTGACCCCCGACCAATCTTCATCGACACAAAGGACCTCCACTCGACCTGGTGCAACACAGCCGCCATCAAGGAGCTCGGCATCGAAAACATGCCGGACCCGTCAGGAGGCAAGATCCACCGCGACGCCGAGGGCAAAGCGACGGGTCTCCTCAGCGAGGCCGCCGTGCTCACCATCGTGTGGCCTCATCTCGCCCAGGTGGCCCCCAAGAGAGATCGGATGGACGCCATGCAGGATGCCGTGCAGACCTACAACGCATCAGGCTACACAGGGCTGATTGAGATGGCCATGGACGAGCCGGCATGGGACGCAGCGTGCTCGCTCCGCGCCGAGGAGCCCAACTTGCCCATGCGCATCCACGCCTACTGGCTCATCAAACCATCCGAATCCGAGGAGGAGCGCTTCAAGCAGGTCGATCGGGCCATTGAACTCCACAACGAGCTGAACAAGGCCACCTCCCCTGACCTGCGCATCGTAGGCATCAAGATCATCACCGACGGCATCATCGACGCCTGTACCGCACACCTGTCAGAGCCCTATGCCGAGGTGGGTTCCCCCCCGCCCTTCTGGAGCGCCGAGTGGCTCGGCCCCGTGGTCGCGAGGGCAGACGCCGCCGGATTGCAAATCGCCCTGCACGCGATAGGCGACGCAGCCATCAAGAACGCAGTCAACGCCCTCGCCAACCACGCCACGCCTGGCCGCCGCCACCGCCTCGAGCACATCGAGATGGCATCTTCCGAGGACGCGAAACGCCTGGGCGATCTGGGCCTCACGGCTTCCATCCAGCCCGTCCACGCCGACCCGGCCATCCTCCGCGCCTGGCCGCGCCTCATTGGCGCCCACCGCTGCGAGCGCGCCTTTGCCTACCGCGAGTTCGCAGACCACGGCGCGCTGCTCGCACTCGGCAGCGACAGCCCCACGGCCCCCTGGGCGCCGCTGCAAAACGCCTACGTCGCGACGACGCGGCGGTCCGCCAGGGAGCCGGGATACGATGTGGTCGTCAACGAGCACTTCAAGTTGGGTGTGTGCGAGGCCATCACGGCGGGCGCATTCGGAACTGCAAAGAGCGTGTTTGCGGAGGATCGGACGGGTTCTTTGCAGATTGGCAAGCGCGCGGACTTTGTGGTGGCGGAGATGGATTGGACGCCGCAAGGTCTGCTCAAGGGCGAGATCAAGGCCACCTGGTTTGACGGGCGGAGGGTGTGGCCGTCTCCCGATGCGTAGGGTGTTATCCGGGAGATGGGGACTTGCTCTCCTCCTGCCGTTCATGTTGAGAATCAGACTTTCTGTTGTGCCGCGGTCGCTGCTACTGACTGCTGCATTTCAGTACATACGCCCCATATATGCAGCCGAGAGGCAAAAAACATGAAGCCCAGCCAATTGGTGGTGTTCGTGTACAATAGTTTGTCGGCTCCCACATGACATGTTCAGATATTTGTAAACAAAGGTTCGTGTGTACTTCTGTCGTGTGTGTGTGCGTTTGCGTGTGTCTGTATGCGAAAGAGAGAACGCAAGTCAGTTTGATTTGTGTGAGTAAGGTAGTAGTCGTGTGTGTGTGTGTGTGTGTGTGTATGAGTGTGTCAGTATTCCAGCCGGCGCAGTATTCTGGGAATAGTTTCATCCCATCTCGTGCGTGTTTCCGGCTCTGCGGCAAGATGGCACTGGCCGCTCTCCTGCCCTCCCCCAATGCCCAAATCCCCCCATCCCCCAGTCTCTTCTCACACGATGCCCCGATCGGGGAAAGGTTGCAAATCCACACCAACTCGGGATAAAGTCGCGCTGAAGTTCTCCAGGGGTTCTTCGTGAGTGGCTCGGACGTGGGTGAGCACGTCAAGGGTGTTCTCGGGAAGAGAAGGGCGCCTGCCAACAGGCAAATCACCCAACCCCAGACAGGGATCATCCTGTTTTCTTCTGCATGTCTGTGATATCAGAGATTCCAAAAGAGGCTCTGGCAGCGGATGTCAAAACCCCCATTTCAGCACATGGAGGGTGTGGTGGTGGCCCACTCCTCTCGAGATGCCGAGGGACGTGTCGTTCTCTCTCGTCCCAGACTCTGGATGGAGGTCAGTACAAGAAGACGGTCATGACCCCATGAACTTGGACGGATCGGGCCAGCCAACCTTTTTACTCCATTCAGATTTCGTTCTCGACTTTGGTTCTTCCAATAAAATACGCGGACATCTTTCACATTCTGTTGTGGTCCACCTACTCCGGAAAGAACAACATCTCGCAGTCGAAAAGATGCAGCCTCAAAGTAGTCTGTCGGCGCTTGCCGCCCTCGCCCCCATGGTTCTGGCCTTGCCTCAACAGCAGCCTCCCCCGCCAGGCCCTCCAGCTGCTTGTGCACCGGTCAACATCATCGTCGCCCGTGGCAGTCTCGAGGCGCAGGGTGCCGGTTTGTTAGGCAATATCGCCATGAACGCGTCGATGCAGATTCCCGGCTCCGTCATTACGCCATTGGTGTACCCGGCACAACTCGACCCGTATCCGCCTTCCGTGTCGGCTGGTGTGATGAACATGACGACTCTTCTCAATCAACAAGCGCAGCAGTGCCCCCAGTCGAAGCTCGTTCTGATGGGATACTCTCAGGTATGTCTTTCTCGTGAAGTGAAGGCTCGGCGTCGCGTCTGACATGTCGCAGGGCGCACAAGTGTCGCTGGACACTCTTTGCGGTACCACGGATGGCCCGAACTTCAACACGACTGTTGCCCAGGCACCCATGGTCGGAAGCAAGAGTAGGTTTAGAGACCTTTGATGCCGTGTGATGGTCATGGCCAGTTTGCTGACATGGCTCAATAGTCGCTGCCGTCGTCTTGTTCGGTGACCCAACCTTCATCGCCGGCCAGCCCTTCGCCAAGGGAACCTCAAAGAAGAACGGCGTATGTCCTTTGGACCTCGATCTTATCTCTGCTCTCGCGTGACTAACCATTGCCTCACAGATCTTCCCTCGTATGGATCTCGGCCCATGCCAGACCCTGACGAGCAAGTTCGCATCATTCTGTGATGACACGGATCTCTTCTGCGCCTCGGGCCAGAACTTGACCGTCCATCTCGGCTACTTCTCCAAGCAGGACTACGTAGCCCAGGCATCTTCATTCATCGTGCAGCAGACCAAGTAAAGGTCTGAAGCAATGAAATGGCGATAATAGCATCCAGAACTCGAGGAGCTGGCGACTCGGGCAACTAGAATGACTCTTGATGGAGACGAGGAGGTAATGCTTTCACGATTCTTGACGATAAACTTCTTTTTTCCTTCTTTCTGCTGCAGTAGCATTCTCAGTCCGGTCTTGATGATCGACGCATGGCGTTTCGTGGTGGAGGCAAAAAGTCACACTAGCCGTAGCGTTTTCCTTTCTCCTGATATCAGCAGAGGCCTTTGAGCCAAAACAACTTGAATAAACGAAAAGATTAATTCTCAAGGAACTGGAACATTTGTCGTCCGTGCTCGTTTCGTCACCGAGAGAAGTGGGCCGGCCGTGGAAAAGCAGAGTGGGGCTGTCACACCTGCCTACTAGCCGAATGCGGAAGCGGGCTGGTGGTGAGAAGCATCCGTGCACCGGCAAGCTACGATTGACCAAAGTCTCACCTTAGGTACACACCGAAAAATGGTCTTACCTAAGGTATCTTACCTGACCAATTGGAAGGTGCCGGCCTGCCGATAAGATAACCGGCCATAAGCGATAAGAAACCATAAACAGCCACAGCCACCTCGCCGTGGCTTGCACCCAAGCCCTCGACTTATTCCTTTCATAAGATTAAGACACACTCAACTGGACAGATATCATGATGGTAGGTGTTTTGCCTCTCAAAATCGATATACAGACAAGTGCTCCGTCACACGACGGTATGTCTTCCAATTTCTAGTACACAAAGATGAAATCCTCGTTCTTTAGATCCGTCATGTCCTGCAGGCCGTGGTCTTCCTCAATAGCACGGTGTTGAGGTTGGGGGTCCTCTTCGATCTCGACTGCCTTGCCCTCCTGCTTATCCTTGTTGCGCATCATCGACTCGTCGACGATTAGTGTGCTCTTGCCGAGTGCTTCACGACGCTTGGCGTGCTGAACGTTGAGGTACTTGAGGTAAAGAGGAATAAGGCTGAACAACCAGTCAGTCAACATTATGCGAGAGGAGAAAGGAGGGATGTGGCCACTTACGCTCCCATGATTGCAACGAGGACGAACATGATAAGGTTGGAAATCAGACCGGGACGGTACACCGGGGCGTCATCAACGGAATACAACAGCGGTCCAATGATGTTGCCTGTGCACATCCCGATGAAGACAACAGCAGATGTAGTCTTCTTCTTGGTGTCACCGGCGGTATTTTGTGCCTGCCATGTGAAGATGAGAGGCGTGATGGCAGCCAATGCAGAGACCTAAGTGTCTCAAGTCAGTACGTTGTGCAGCTAGCAGTATCATCAACTGGACCCTTACCAAGTAGTATCCGAACAGCAAGACACCCTTGTGCTCACGCGGTACGGTAAGCATCAGGACGGTACCGATGGCAGGGATGATTGCCACGCCTGCAATGACGATGCCCTTCTTTTGGATCCGAGTGGCAATCCAGCCGCTTCCCATGATGGCGATGATCTGGATGGCTCCAAACGGAATGTTGAACAGGATGGTAGTGAAACTGCTGTATCCAAATGACTGAACGATCAAGTTACCAAAGGTCGAGATTCCACCACTGGCGATGCTGTACAAGATTGTTAATATTACAGCAGTGTCAGTCGAAGGTGGTCCGAGGAACGTACGAAATAGCGATGATGAGAATAAACCAGCACCATGTCTTCAAGTCAAGGAATGTCTCCCAGACGTGGTCCCAGCGCCAGACTCCAGACTGAATACCCATCTGGTTCGCACGTAGTCTCTCAACGGCGATGACCTTTTCTCTCTCGGTCAGGTACTTGGCAGACATTGGCGAGTCGGGCATGAAGATGAGAACAACGGCGGAGTAGGTGACGGTGAGCAAGCCGCAGAACCTATGTCACGCACAGCATTAGCAACGCATTTCCAGCGTCAATATTGTCCGCCTCAACACCGTTGGTCCATGACTTACAGAAAGATGATCTGGTACTTGTAGAGCTTATCGCTATTAATGTGGCCCAGACCATAGGTGAAGAGACTTCCGACGATGAACGTTACACCGTTCATGGCGTTCCACGAACTAGTGACAAGTGTCTGCTCGCTTCTTCTCCACCAGGTAGTCGTAACAGCCAAGCAGGACGGCGCGATCATTGCTTCGAAGGACCCGAGCATGAATCTTAAGCCGAGGAGTGATTTGAAGTCGGTGCAGGAAGACATGATGGCCAGTGAAGAGCCCCAAAGGAAGATGGCAGCAGCGATGACTTTTCCGTTGGGGAGTTTGACGAGGATCCAAGCAGCGACGGGTTGCATGACGAGTTGAGCGATGTACAAGATAGAACCGAGCCAGGAGTACTGCTTGCCGACGAGGTGTGCGTCTTCCTTGATGCCGAAGATGGAAACATAACTGTCGGAATCGATCCATCAGCGATCCAGTTATGTCTGCCGTCCTGGATGCGGGTTTCACTCACCTAAGGGAACTCTTGTCCATCTGCTGAAAGAAATACGCTCCGAGAATCAAGGGAAGAATGCGAAAGTTGATCCGCTTCAGAACGGCTTGCTCTTCCTCGTATGTAAAAGTCGTGTCACCGCCTCCGTGCTCTGCGAGGAACTTTGCCGCCTTTTCTTGGACCGTGTTCGCCGGTGCTGATGGTTCGGGGATGGGCTCGATCGCGTCGACGGCAGGACCGCCGGCCCGCTCCTCGGCCGGAGTTTGAGAAGCCATGATGGATCGTTGATAGCGCACAAAGATGACCCTGATAGGTGTCGTTGAAGTTCAAGAACGACGTGCTAGTACCGTGCGAGTGGTACAGATGTCGAGCACACCTTTCGAAAATGACACTGCAGCACCCTGATGGAAAGAAGGAGAGTAGCGGAAACCCAGCGATGTGGTTCGGGCTCGTTCATCTTATCCGTCATATACCCTCATGCAACATGGCCCCTTGTCCGCCCCCAATAACCGGTTTCCTCTCAGCCGGAGGCGAACGGCAAAGCCGAGCGTGGAGGCTCAACATCGATCTACCTTGGCAACACCTGACTCCCGTGTTGCGTGTGCCCATCGCATGGTCTCTGTTGGTCTTCTTTGCTAATACCCGGAGATTAAGTCTGCCCTCCAAGTCGGATGGCACGTTGCCAAGATTGCTTGCCGGGTGCTTGACAGAACCCAAGAGATCCCTCGGAAACACCCCCAGTCCAATTTTGAATAATGCTTCTCATTGGAGGGAAAACTCCAGGCTATTTGCGAAGCCGAGACATCAGGGGTCTCTGTCGAATCAAGTCCCAGCTCAACGCCTGAGGGCCGTCGTTGACCTTACGAGTCGTGCGCAACCATGCCAGGTATATCCAGGCTTAGTGCCAAAGAGTCTGGGGTAACGATCTACCATTTACGAGCGGGTGGCTGGAATAGCCAAGTTGAGAGAACACAACAAGGGGGTTCCTCTGGGCTGACGTTGCACTTGTTCCCACTTCTTCCCCAAACTCTCTCCGCACGCTACTCCTTTCAGATGTCTAGTCCTCGGTTTACCCCAGTATCCCCGACATTTCCGACATTTGAAGCGGAGAGCCCCCGCGTTCCGCTACATCTTCTCTCCGCAAGAGCGTCGAGTGACTGGTCCATGAGTCGGGCATTCAAACCCCCGCGCCCAGAAACGGGTTGCCATTTTGGCTAAATTCGGGCATTTGGGGTATCTGATCCCGAGTAGGATCCCTGACGGGGGCCGTCGATTGCATGAGATCTCGCGGATTTTGAGTGCCATCTGCCGAAGTCATGACGATTGACGACTCCGATAACGCGGGCGTGTGTCTCTCAATAAACTCGCCGTGCCCATTACAATTCATCGTTTAACAAAGGACGCCGCAGTGTACTCGAATCTGACGCTTCCTTGCACTGGACGTTCTCATACCCGACCACTTTCAAGCCATCGACACGACCTAAGCACACAATCGACCTCTACAATGGGCGAGTCAACGCAAAAGAAGCGTTATGCCATCGTAGGCACCGGCGGCCGATCGGGCTTCTTCTACACAGCCATTGCAAAGGACTACAGCAGCACTTCAGTCATCGTCGGTCTCTGCGACACGAACCAGACGCGCATGAACTATGCCAACTCAAGATTGAAAGAACTCGGCCACGGCGAGGTCCCGACCTACATCGCAGCCAACTTTGACCAGATGATCAAAGACACCAAGCCGGACGAGGTCATTGTCACAACCATGGACCGCACACACAACATCTACATCGTCAGAGCAATGGAGCTAGGCTGCAATGTCGTCACCGAGAAGCCAATGACCATCGACGCGCCGCGGTGCAGGGAGATCTTCTCGGCAGTCGAACGAACAGGCCAAAAGGTGCGCGTAACGTTCAACTACCGCTACGCGCCACACAACACAAAGATATTTGAGATTATCAAGTCAGGCGCCATTGGCAAGGTGACGAGCGTGCACTTTGAGTGGATGCTCAACGAGAACCATGGCGCCGACTATTTCCGCCGCTGGCATCGCGACAAGCGCAACTCGGGCGGCCTCCTTGTGCACAAGTCGACGCACCACTTTGACTTGGTCAATTTTTGGCTTCAGACGCGGCCGCAGACGGTGTATGCCCAGGGTGACCTCAAGTTCTACGGACGAGAAAACGCAGAGGCGAGGGGCGTGACGAAGTTTTATACCAGGGCCCACGGGAGCGAAGCAGCCAAAGACGATCCCTTTGCACTGCAACTGGATCAGAACCCGCAGCTCAAGGCCATGTACCTCGACGCAGAGCACGAGGATAGTTACTACAGAGACCAGAGCGTGTTTGGCGATGGTATAAGCATCGAGGACACGATGAACCTGCTTATCCGATACCGCAACGGCGCGGTAATGACATACTCCCTCACAGCATACGCGCCGTGGGAGGGCTTCCGCGTCAACTTCAATGGTACGGGTGGTCGTCTCGAGGTCGAGGTTGTGGAGAAGAGCTACGTGAACTCTGGAGGTAGCCAAGCTTTGGAGGGCGCGATTGAGAAACGGACGATGCTGCTTCGGCCGCTCTTCGGACCGCCTCAGGAGATCGATCTCGGTGAGGCCAAGGGTGCTCATGGCGGTGGAGATCTCGTTCTGCTTGCGGACCTGTTTGGTGAGCCAGTGTCTGACGAGTACATGCGGGCGGCTAGTCACATTGATGGTGCCGCATCAATCTTGACTGGTATTGCTGCCAATCGGTCACTGGCAACTGGACAAGCTGTCAATGTCGACGACATCCTGGTGGTGCCCGAGAAATGAGTAACACACGCATGAAGGCCAATGATTCAATTTTATGATAATCATGCAACGCAGTAGGATAGAATGAACCACGAATAGATACACATATGAGCAGTGACACTCCCTTGAGTCTTCATCACAATGTCATCTACAGGGACCCGATAAGTGAGCGACCTAACTATCGGTGTGAGACAGCCAACGTGGAGCATCAATTGATACGACAACGCTCTTGACGCTCTTTAATCATGCTACGATAACTCGCATTCTATCAAACTTTCGACGCCATTGCCGCCACCATAGATACCTAAGATTCTCAAACCAGCCTTCTCTAGGAGACTCTGCCACTCCACCCGAGTACGCTCCTTGCTACTGACTAGCGTCAACATCATGATATCCTGGCCAGTGTTCTGCCAGTCGGCACCGGTGTCGGGGATGCAGTTCTCATTAACCAACAACCTGCTGTATCCAGGCTTCATCGCAGCTGTAGTCCGCGCAAGAATCTCTTCACACTTTTTGTCCGGCCAGTCATGAAGGACCGAATGCATGTAATAGGCTCGGGCACCTGAGTGCGGAGCGCATTAGTCTTGGATATCTTGTACAACAGATGAAATGTGCGTTCTCACCTTTGATCGGCTGCTCAGTGAAGAAGTCATGTCCCATCCTCTCGATCTTTTCGTCCAGTTTCTCAATCTGATTGATAACGGTTGGAAGATCCTGGACCACAAGCCTACCAGGGGCCTCGGGATGCTTTCTGCGGAACTCATCAATGTCATGGCCAAAACTTCCTCCGACGTCAACAAGGAGCACGTTATCTTGAGAGTCGTCAAAGCCGTCGAGCAACCGGTGTTTCACGGGGTAAATGCCTTCATCCATCCAGCTCGGTCGGCCTTGCCGGTATGCGCCCATGTGCTGTGCGAATTGCATCTCGTAAGGATGGCTTGCTGCGAGCCAGCTGAAGCAGTCGAGTTTGGTGTTGTATCCGTATTGTAGGGGTCCGTTGAAGACATCGTTGGGCTCGCGGTAGTTGGTCTTCTTAGCGAACTCGTGGAATTTGGCTAGGGACTCCATACAGGCTCCGGCGCTGACGATGACAAGGGTCAGCTTACATTTTAGATTCATAGAAAGGCACGCGCAAAAGAATATAGCTTGTTTTTGAGTGGGTTGGATAATCGGGAGGTATAGATCACTTACACACACGGGTAGCCAGCGCCCATGCTGGTGATTGTGAGCGCATCTGAGAAGTTTGTTGACTTATATTCGTCTGGTCCAGTCTCAGTGATGTAAAGCATCGCGCCGAGATGTCGCATTATTCGTCCTGCATTACGAGAAAAGGAGTCAGTATAGACTCGGTGAGGGAGTAACGTCCTGCGGGAGATGACACACCCAATAGGGCAGGATCGTGTCCTAATTTCAGAGCTAGATCAGACACGTTTTGAGACTTTTTGCTCTGTGATAACAGAGCAAAGAGACCCGAGTCAACTGCGTATGTAAGGGCTGTGAAAGCGGCTGGCTGGTTGGCGATATTTAGCGAGTGCGTTGAAGTTCAAGAAGAAGGCCATCTTACTTGCGCCCAGCAGTGCTTGATCATGGTCTCCCGCGGTGTCTCCAATGCATGTACCAACAAACGAGCGCTCTGCAGCATGCTCAGGCGTGCAGTGTTATCACCCTCAGCAACTGCGCTGGTAAGATTGGCAATATTCTTCACGTGTTGATTCACGCTTGGAAGGTCGCACGCGGCCAAGGCAACAGATATGTCAACCTCGCGAGGTATCTCGCTTGGGATAGAGCCCATGATGAACAAATATGCAGGTCAATGAGTTCAGATGTCAAAATGATGGTGTAATAGAGAGGTGAATTTAGGTATCACTCGAGGGGTGGAAAGAATCGAGAAATCGAAGGAGAGTGGAGGGCTAAAGGGACAAATTATAAGGTTTGCCGGACACACTTGTTAGCCACGCAGATATATCGAGTACAAATTATCCTGCACAGCAAACTGAAGAGGCACCTTCTACTTGTGACAAATCCGCACGAGGGAACGACATGGGTCTGGAACCATATGGAAGTACAGGGCGGAACACATGAGTTGATGGAAGTCCCACACAACACGGAGGGGGCGAAGAGTCAATTCAACATGGGTTCGCGACATGGTGTGTATGTGAATGTCAGGAATTTTCCTCATATTATCAACGTTTCATGGATAAAGTATACATAGTAGGTACTTTCAGCAGATGTCTGAGATAGGCACAGTGAGTTTGCAGACCGCACGTCCATAATTGGTTGATACTCCGTCCTCAGCACCAGGAACTGAGGACCCATAGGCGTACGTATGTTTGTTGGACGGTCGTGCTCTTAACCCTGTTCCAACGCCGACAGAGATCCAATCCCTAAAATTTACGCAATGTACGTTTGTTGTCGAACTAAACTAATTTGTGGAAGCGTTCGAGCCAATAAGACTGCCCGGGAGGAGCGGGCAAAGATTCAACGAGGATTCTTTCCACTTGGAATTTTGGTCAGCGCATGGAAATATGAAATCACTCAAAATACTGCGTGAGTTACCTATGAGGACCCCAGTCGGAGACACCAGGCAGTAGATGTTGTTGTTTGCTGTTGGTTCTGGAGTCTTTCAACACGATCGCCTGATTGGCAACGGAATCAATGCCGGGTGGAGAGGAGCGAGGGACCCCTGGACCATTCGGCGGGGCTGCTATAGACTCTGCACCACGTCCGGGCCGATGTTGCGCAACTAACAGCTCACAATACCTCGTGGGTTAATGTCCAACCAACACGATGTCTTTCTTCCGAGCAGACTCTCCTGGTTGAAAGAGGCAACCAATATCGAAAACGGCAGCACCCACACGAGATTGATGGCAAACTGGCTATGATTACTTTGGTCTCGACCTTGAAAATGGGCGAAAGCCTCGGGTCTACTTGATCTAACCCTTGAAACGTTGTTGGAATCATTGGTACGTTGTCAAGCGACCTTCTTCTTTTCAATTTTGTTTTCAATTTTGGATCAAGGATGTACGGGCCGGCTCAGGTGAGAGTGCTTGCGTCTGCATGAGGCGATAGACGTCGCCACCGGATCCCCCTTAATCACCATTTTCCAACCGCGGCACCTCACTCTGCGAGCCTGATCCAACTGCTTCTTGGCGCATATCACCGCAAGAAACCTTTAGCGGAGACGCTGGAGCATTGTCTTTTGTGTCTCGCGTCCGGGCCAAAATTTTACTTCCGACGGAGTGAGTCTGAATCCTACCTTTGAGAGTACTGGGACGTTTTGAGTTTATCTTTTGGCCGCAAACCGAGCTCAGTTCTGCAAGATGACAAGTCCGGATTCGACTACAACGTCTTACTCAACAGACAACAAAGGACCTGGAATCATTGTTGCGATATGTATCATTGTCGGTATCAGCACTCTTTTCGTCGCCATGCGGCTGTTTGTCCGCATCAAGATTCTTGGACAAACCCATTTGGATGATCACCTTACTGTTCTTTCTCTGGTTCGTTCAATGAATCCATTCCAAGAAGCAATGCCTGAATCATAAAGATGGCCAAATGTTTCGCTGACACATCGCAACTTGGCTAGCTCCTCAGCTACACGACGATAGCTCTAGAAATTTGGGCCATTCGATGCGGTAACGGTCGGCATGCGGATACCCTTTCTCAAGAACAGCAATCCGCGGCAATCCTATCCACAATATCAGGATTTCCTCCAAACGTCCTCGCATACACTATACCGAAGTTTGCCGTCGTGGCACTCCTCGTGAGGATATTGAATCCAGGAAGGATGCATCAAGTACTGCTCTGGGGCATGGCGACCGGGTGTCTGGTGCTGGTGTCCCTCTGCATCATCATTCTCTTTGCTCAGTGCACCCCTACTCACGCTCAATGGGACTTGAAAGTGACTGAAAAGAGCTGTTGGAGTCCATGGGTTCTTGTGAACGTCGCGATATTGACAGGAGGTTAGTGTTCGGTCCAGTTTACGGTGCGTTCGACGTGGCTTTCGCTGACTACAACCCGATTAAGCATACTCCGCGGCGCTTGACTTATACCTTGCAGTTTATCCAGCGACGGTTTTGATGAGGCTTCAGATGAATATCAAGAAGAAAGTGATCCTGAGTACTGCTCTTGGGATTGGATCGATGTATGGAGCCAAAGTTCAATGCGTCTTTTTTTCCATTATGACATGTCTGACGGAACCCTCAGCTCTTGCTTCATCTCCATTTACAAAAGTACAAGACTACCATCTCTCGCCAGCAAAGACTTCACGTGTAAGAGACACTTCACAAGCATTTTTGTGCTAACTAACAGCCCACTAGATGACAGTGCGGAGCTTGTTGTGTGGACCATGTCAGTAACGAAAAGATTTGGATTGTTTAATTAGATATGTCCAGCTAACAATCTTGGTAGTGTAGAGGGCAATACTCTTATCATCGCTACCTGTATCCCAATTCTCGGGCCTCTCGTAGAGTTGGCTCTTGGGCGACGCGTCCTAAGTTCAACAGATCGAAAATATCAAAAGCAAAGTGACCCAATGGGATTGCGGTCGGGTGGAATTGAGATGAACGGGTCTCAATCATTTCCAAGGAACGGAAATGTCGTCGGCAAAACATCAACAACTATAGGTTCGCGAATTGACATGGAAGACACGAGTAGTCAAGATAGTATTGTCGGGGCGGAGACTGGACCGAGCTCTAGAGTTGTAGGGATCACGAGGAGACAGGACATCACGGTCTCTTATGAGAGCGAACGCGCCGGTCGTGATCAGAGACATATTCAAGACAACATGAGGTCAGGAAATTGGGACTCGTCCTAGGACGAGCTACTGGACGGTACTGCCATGACAGATTGATAAGCTCAAGATTGGTAGGCTTTTATCTTTCCAGTTTGGCGACCAGACGGGAGGGTATGAGGACAAGAGACGCAATAGTAGAAAACCGCTTTGTTTGAGGCAGTAGCTGGGTCAATCTCATAGACTGGAAGGTTTATCAGTTGACACATCACCACAGTATCGTATGAGAGAGACCAGACAGCTGGTGATCAGGAGCGCCCAGATAGGTGTCAGAGGTGAGTACCTTACTATACTTGATTCGACCAATTCCAACCCGCCTAGAACATCTGTGAGCTTTCAGTCCCTTTCTTCATTATAACATGGCAGTGAACTTTTCAAAGCCAGGAAGGTTTCGGCAGGGTGTAGTCAGATTCCTGCCCTTGCATCGGAATCGGACTGTGGGGTGGGGGTGGGTAATGGAGGTGGAGGTGGACGTGTTGCTGCAACGTGAATCTACCGCGTCTACGCTACTGATTTCCTCATTCAGAATACCGAGCCAGGATCCATTCTAAAAACTGTACTCCTTACGGAGGGAGTAGAGCTGCAGATGATGGACGGTTGAAGAAGCTCGCAAGCTAGCGGAAAGGTCCTGGCTATCATTCCCGACTTCCTTGACTTATACTGTCACACCACTATGCCTCCGGTATGAGATGTTTAAGTATCCCACCTATCCATGACGAACCCCTTCTTCCTCTCAGAGAGCGACTGATACTTATCAATCCTCTTCAAGTTACTGCCGGAATTCTGCTACAATGGATGCCGCAACCCCCTCAACTGCGTTCCAGCCAGATCTAAAGATACTGCCTTGGAGCCGTAGAGGGTCGTTTCTAAGCCTCAGCCGCACCACTCGACTTGCGCCTCCTCTGAATCTCGTGCCACAGACCGACCTCTACCTTGTATCTCAATGCGTCGCTTTGTCAGTACCCATGTTTGCTCTCCGGCCTCTGCCCGGGGGTCTTGGCCTAAATGAACCTCCCGGCTTCCACGACTCGCCGTCGCCGACCACCATCCAAGCCACAATATCGTCTATCCAATGGAGCTATGAGAGTAAGATCGTCTGTGAGGCAACATTTCAGGACCTGCGCTCCATTCGACTCAGAGGAAATGTACCTCTAGCCTTTGATAGCGACGCTCGATCAGACCCTAGTGTCTATATGGGGATGTACGTCTTCGAGCGTCTACCATACGATGGGCTCAAAGCTGGCGTTGAGGTCACGTACAAGACCTTCCCTGGCTACCGCTTTCTTCCCACCAAGGGAAACTTGACAACTGTCAATGGCCAGACCAACGCCTTCCGAGTCAACCGCCGTATCCAGATTCAGGGCACGGATGACGATCCGCAGTGGGAGCTCATCATTCACGAGCTCGATGTGCGTGAAAATCTGCCGCAAATGACGTGGAAAGAAAATTCGTGCAAATTGGCACTCGAGGAAGCCAAAAATACCACATTTGAGAGGATGGGAGAAAAGATGGCCAAGGAATTCGATGACTTCGTTGTCGCCATGTGCCCTTGTGCAGAGGGCAAGCCAACAGAGGCCGAAGTACTTGCTAGCTATGTGACCTGGACCTCCATGGTCCGCGCAGAGCACAAGTTTACAAAAGAAGCTGTCTTGATGTCCAAGCTCTGGATGAATAAAGTCTGGAGCTGGGATCACTGCTTCAATGCGCTGGCCATAGCTGCTCTCGATCAGCAGCTGGGCCTTGACCAGCTCACCGTCGTCTTCGTCCACCAAGCGCCGGACGGTCGTCTCCCCGACTCAGTTGACTGGCAGAACGTCGAGTGGGGGTTTACAAAGCCTCCTATCCAGGGCTGGGCTCTTTCCAGGCTCCTTGCCCAATTTCCGGGCATGAGTGACGACAAAGTGCAGCCACTCTACGATGCCACCGCCAGACTGACGGACTTCTGGATGGACACACGTAGAGGTGACACCTCGCGTCTTCCGTTCTGGGCTCATGGTAACGACTCTGGTTGGGACAACTCCATAGCTTTCGACAGCACGCCAATGATCGTCGGGCCGGACCTGGCGGCTTACCTTCTTCTCCAGGCCAGCTGCCTAGAACAGGTCGCCAAACGCTTACGACACGAGAATGATTCCGAGAAGTGGGCAAATATGAGAAGTTTCTTGGTCAATGCTCTCATCGAAGAATTATGGGATGGCGAGTCTTTCCTCCTCAAGAATGCTATAACAGGCGAGACCTTCAAAACCACCTCCCTTCTACAGTTTATGCCTCTCGCTGCCGCGCGACATCTACCAGATGAAGTCGTTGACAAGATGGTCACAAGCATTGTGTCCAAGCACCTGAGCGAATGGGGTCCCGCGACCGAGAAGCTCGCCTCGCCGGACTACGAGAGCGACGGATACTGGCGAGGCCCCATCTGGGCTCCCTCGACTCATCTGGTCGAAACTGGCCTGCGTGATGCTGGACGAATTGATCTGGCCGATGAGATCAGCACGCGCTTTTTGCGGTTGTGCGAGAAGTCAGGATTTGCAGAGAACTTTGATGCTATCACGGGGGAGGGGTTGCGGGACCTGTCATACACGTGGACCTCGGCGGTTTACTTGGTCATGCGACGAGAGGCCATTGAGAGGGGAGACGCCAAATAGTTTCAGGAAATAAGGGAGACGTTTGGAAAAATTGGGGTGTAAGTATCGTTGAAGCCCCGGCTGGTAGCTAGGTCATGATGTAAATGCCCTTCATCCGTAGGGACTTATTGGTTGGGATAGTAGACCAACGTTAACATTCTGTGTAGGGGCTGCGACTGTAGCCACTTGACAGGCGAAACGAGAAGAAGGAAGTATTAATCAAGTCGCGGATTTCGAACATTGAAATTGATTCTTTAGCTCAGATAATTCGCGGGGTTGATGACAAAGTGGCCGCGTGCGGATTGGTGCGGCAATCGGCTCATGCAACCGAGCACATAAACATGAGGGAATGTTGGATTCCGTAGCCGCCCAAAGCTTCCCTAGACACAACCAAGCGGACAGGCACCTGTCTGAAGTTCACCTTTCATAGTCATACTCATCCACGTTGTATATCAAAGATCTGACGAGCAATCTGTCTTCTAAAGCGTCATGTCATCCTTGCCCATGGCCTCCCAATCAGCCGAGACACCTGCTGCGACAGAACCATCATTGCACGTGTGCAGCATATGTGATAGGAGCTTCATGCGAAGGGATCATCTGAAGCGTCACAAGCAGACTCACATCACCGAAAAGCCCATCGAATGCAACTACTGTGGGAGAAAGTTCGCGCGCAGGTAACGTTGTCTCGTTCTTTTCAGACAGCTATCCATCTTCCCGGACCCTATCACCTGAAATCGTTTTGTCCATTTCCACGCCAGGTGCAGTTGACGACTGAGAAGCGTCCGACCTATATTCTTATGTCCCTTGTACAAGTTGGTCGTATCCCTAACAATTCTTTCATAGAGACGCAGCGCGACGCCACGAGCAGCTTCACGTCGGCCCAAAGCAGCCGGGCTTGAGAGGCTCCACGGCCTCATCTCGCCTCCTCAAAACATGCTCATTCTGCGCCATCTCACATATCAGGTGCTCCGGCGATTTTCCATGCAGTCGCTGCGAGGAAAAGAGTCTCCAGTGTCAATACAACCCCCCTCAACGTAGATATACTAGCTACGAGGATGAGACAACATTATCAATGGGGACTCTTAGCCATAGTCATCAAGGATATCACCCTCGACTAGATGATGGATTGCCGGCGTTTCAACGCGGCGAGCGATATCACTCTCAAAGAACTGGTTGCTCGGGCAGTTCCCAATCTTATCCAACCAGGTCAAGGCAATCCCCTGATCAAGGTACTTGGAATGAAAAGCAGAGCACAGGCTCGAACCTGGACAGAGACGCGAGTTCTTACATCCAGGACATTGGAGGAAGTCACGAGACCGAGAATGATGCTGGAATAGAGATGGATATAAGCCTCCAGGACTGCGACATGGCGCCATGGGAGGAGCCGGCTGTCAACATAGGCCACGCTCATGTTCATCAGCCAGTCGTGCCCCAAGATGTCGCTACGACCAATGATTCCATTGCACGATCTCGGATTACGGTTACCTCACAAACAGACATTCGATCCATTGCGGGAAATAGTACCTCCAGCCCGAGAGGTTCGAACTTGGTCTCAGATCTGGATGAATCCTCCCTGAATCATCAAGATCAGATGTCAGCGTTCATCACATACATGCGCGATGGATCAACAGCCACAGATACTTCGTCTCTTGATAGAAGCTATGATACGACCAGCCACAGACAGCTCTACGTAAATGGCCGTGGTTTTCGCCAGTCGCAGGCCGACCGTGGCTTTCAAGAAAGACATGCTACTGTTCTGCGACGGGGAGTACCCGACCACGACTCTCATCCTGGTGCTTCTTGGTTGGCGGTGCTTCTGGAGGAAATCAAACAAACAAAAAGTCAGCAACAAAAGTCTCGCTTCACTATTCCAGAGTCCGTATACCAGGAAATACAAACGAAGCTGCTATCAGGTGCCGGAAGGCCTTTGCTGCCCGAAAGGTTTAATGCAGATTTGGATGTTCTTCTTGGCCGAGATACGTTTGAACACCTTATTGAGCAGTACTTTGAACATTTCCATCACTTGCACCCATTCGTCGACAGGTCCCTTCTCAGCATTCCTGTCTGGGGTTGGAGTCTGTGCATTGGGGTTGCAGCTATTGGATCCCGTTATCTGAGTCTCCCCAATTTGACCGACTTTGGCGAGCAACTCTGTAGCGCTTTACACGACCTGCTGCTACGTGAGGTAGGTCTTCTACAGTTCCATTAGTAGTTTGCTGAATCCACGTCATAGCTGACATGAAATCGGTTTCATAGTTAGATTTTGGTCGTGTACAAGACTGTCTTCCTTACATACAGGCTCGAACACTCGCTGCCGTGGGTATGTGCCAAAGCCGTACCAACCCGCTGGTCAAATGTGGCTATAGCGCCATCTCTCTCGTATACAATTCCTGTCTTCAACTACAGCTCCTTGAAGAGGATGACAAAATTGGGCTCTATGTCGAAGGCCAGAGCGTGGAGCAAGTGTGGCTGGCATGGCGCTTTCGTGAAACAAGACGACGAACTGGACTTTTCATATGGGTAAGAATAGCGAGAATACCTGCTATTACCACCCTTTGTCTGGCCGGAAATGACTGACATATATGATGTTTGGAGCTTCTCGATGCTTGGCTTGCATTAGCTGCGAACCGTCCTCCAAGTATACCGTCTAGCAAACTGGCGCTCAAAATGCCCAGCGCCGAAGGTTTGTGGGAAGCAGACTCCGCTCAAAGCTGGTCTAAAGCATTCGCTTCTCCTACCATCACGAAGAGTGGAGTGGACGTAATTCTGTCGGAGGAGTCTCTCCGACTAAGTGTGCGAAGTTCATTCGGCAAGCTCTGGAGCAGTCAGAGCTCTCCTCAACCTGAGAATCAACTAGGAGTCATCATTATGATACATATGCTGCTTCGCCGGAAATGGGATATCGTACAGTATTTCAGTGAAGCAGTACACCTCAAGATTACCTACAGTCATAAACTAGGCGGAAGAGAGGCGCAGCAGCAACAATACCTAGGCTCTATACCTGAGTACGCTGAGTGGAGGGACTATACCTGCGACTGCCTGGACCTTCTTCATTGGGACGCTATTGGCTTCATATCACAGCAGTCCATGTTTGAGAGTCCATCAATCCTACATCTGCACCTTTCCCGCTTACTCATACTGGCACCTGTCGAGGCCCTCCTGCGGTGCGCTCAGACAACCGCAGCTAGTACGTCCATTGACAGCCTGCCTCATTCGATATACGCATCATCCGAAGATCGGACTACATGGCATACTACAATTCTCTCCTGGGTTCGAGAGGACATGTATAAAGCCCGCCTAGCTGTTATCCACGCTGGTGCTGTCCTTTGGCACGTTAGGCGATTCTCCTCCCACCCCATCGTGGAACCATTCGCAGTCTTTCTGGCAGCGTTGACCCTCTGGGCTTTCGGAAACTTTGGTCCTCGACGTGAACATACTTGCTCCAGCTTGACCTGCAGCCAACACACAGAGCGATTTCCCTCGGGCGAGACTCCTTCGACTATCGGCCTATCTCCTTGCGTAGATTCATCCGACACATCGTCACCGGCGACTGGCAACTCCAGCATAAATATGAATCATTCACAAAACCGTCGTCCTGCATCGACACGCTGCGAGGTATCCTTGACAAAGCGTCGCATGCCACGCATGTTACAGCTCGATCGCCCGCTAGACGATGAGTTTGTGCAATATTTCATCCGATATGGCGGTAATACTCAGCTCTTTCTTGAAGGTGTCGATGATCTGTGCTCTGAGGAGGGTCCCGCCGAGATTCTGCAAGAGGCATCAAGGATCTTGATTGAGCAGCCCATGTTTTGGACCATATCGGCGGGTTATGCGGCTCAGCTGGACGTAATCTCAGCCAACACTACATGTAATACTACTACCGAAGATGTAAGGGAACTTCTTTCATGAGCGAAGAGTTAATCTCACAGATCAAACTCTCATGTACTTGGCAGAAGAAAGGGATCAGCGCCAATCTTGATTGAATGTTTGAAGCAGCAAAAGTTGAATTTCTAAACACTATCAGCTCGATTGTAAATGAAGTCATAGCTGTCTCTTGTTTCTGATCCGGAAGCCATTCGTGTCTACCGGGCCCACTCATGATGAAAGTCGTTGAGGCGCCTGAACTGGGCATGCCCAGTATCTAGACAACGTCTCGCATGCTGTCCCGTATGTGCCAAACAAGTAAACCTCCAGACCCAGACGACGCCTGCAGAGGCATGACTCTGTGTAAGTCCAGAGTAGCAATATTATTCTCCACTTCAGACGTAAGAACCCTGCCAATGGCGTGGCGGCGGGAGCACAACTTTTGCCCCATTTGTCGGAATGCGTCGTGGGGTTACTGGTGCGTCAGAGAACCTCAAAAATCGTCTGTGGTTGTCGGCATATTCTTCTGCGACCATAAGCGAGCGAGGCAAGACAGGTTGATCCGACATTGCTTGGTATGTTCTGAATTTGGAGGATCCTAACTGTAGTCTGACCCGCTTAGCAATATTCTCCTCGACCACGGAGCAGACCATGGATGCAATTGCTCGTCAAGTCGCCCGTTTGGGTCAGTAGTATGACATGGGGTCCTACCTACAGTCCCCAAGCCTCACCTCTGCCTCCACCCCCACCTCCACCTCCACCTTCGGTATAGAGGGTACATCTTGAGCATGGGTACGAAACATTTCAGGTGTCTAGATTCAAGAACATGTGACCATGATCACTACCGTTTGGCTCCAAGTGTTCAGGACCAGTGAGCTAATGCAAGTCGGACTTCGGTAATTGTGGATTCAATAATGCCACAAGCCGGGGTGCTGCCCTTACATAGACCAGACGGATGAGCTTGAATCGGACCCCAGATCCGGCGGCTCGGCCCAGCACCGAGACTTCACCTTAGCATCACGCCGGGACAATCTTCTTCCGCCAGGTAGGGAGGTAGGGCGAAATTCAATCCGTTCAGACATGAGATTTTTTCCATGTGCCTATGTCGATCTGGAAACGATTTCCCCGCAATCACAACTCTTGCGCTCTCGCCATTGATTCAGATGTCGGCAAAGAGAGGCCAAGCTGGGGGCAGGATTCGATCGAGTGAAGGCAAGAACTTAGGCAAAAGAGCAGAGAGAGAGGAGCTGAACTGATGACACGATATCCTACTGCTACCTTGAAGGCAAACGCTGAAATGAAAAGATTGCAAGCAGCATTATAAAAAGCCCTTGATTTCTGGGGATCACGGCAATATCTCCCTTCGTGCATCAGCAAATAGCAGCATCTCACCAGTCAAGCTTCTTCTCAAACGATCTGAAGACACATCCTCGTTCACAGCTCGAGCTCTCATTATGATGTTGCGCGCCGTTGTATGCTTGGTTACGACTGTGACTGCCATGACTTTGACGCGTCGTGATGTCAGTCCGGACGCCATCTCTGTCGTTAACCTCGCAGTGGACCGTGGGGAGTCTCAACATGGCGCCTCGGGTGTCCTTTACGGCCTGCCCCTGGAACTGAACCAGATCCCTGATAAGTGGTTTATCGACATGGATTACGGTTATTCGCGCGGCGGCGGCTCCTCGCTGACAGCCGGAGGCCACGCGTGGATTACTTCGTTTGATGACTACAAGGTATGTAACCTGCGCTTTTGTTGTATGATCTTATTCCACTCAAGAGAGAGCGCTAACGGTGACAGGTCCGCATGAATGGCGTTATATCCAACTACCGTATCGTACGCAAGTACAATGGCACATACACGACCATGATGAGCGACCTCTGGGGTGCCGATGGCGGCCAGCGTGAAACAGACGGGCCCTACCCCGGTGATGGCGGCGACTGGACCCAGTGGGACGAGTTTCTCGCCCAAGTTGTCAAGGATCTGCGCGAGAACGACGCTCTTGAGGGCATGTCACTCGATATCTGGAACGAGCCCAACGGTGAAGTTTACTGGGACCGACCTCAGGCTCAGTACCACGAAGCCTGGGCCCATGCCTATGCCTACTTGCGCAAGGAGCTGCCCGACACTAAGCTTGGTGGTCCTGCCGTCAATACGGATCCATCTGTCTTAAACGAGTGGTGGACCAACTTTGCCTCCTTCCTTCAGGTCAACGGCACCATTCCCGACGAGTGGGAGTGGCATGTCCTGGGCAACCCGGACTTTGAGACATCTCGTAACCTCTTGTGGGAACTTCTCGACAAGTATGGTCTGCCCCACAAGCCCATCAACATCAACGAATACGCCCTTGACAGCGAGCAGACCCCTGTCTTCAGCGCTTGGTACATTGCCAGCTTCGAGCGGATCGATGCCAAGGGGGCCCGGAGCTGTTGGATTCCCGCCTTCCAGGCCTACGATATGCTGAGCGGTCTTCTGACCAAGCCCGGTGGTGGTGACGCCAACGTCTACGACCCCAAGAACCAGGATTACAGGGCAACTGGTCAGTACCTCGTCTACAAGTACTACGGCACCGGGATGCAGGGTCACCGTGTTGAGACACTGCTGTCTGCCAATAAGGACTTTGATGTCTACGCCACCGTCGAGGGCAACCATCTCAAGATGCTCTATGGTTCTCGCCGTCAGACTGGTGAGTCAGCCATCCGTGTCAACAACCTCGACATCATCGGTCTACCATCTTCTGGCGAGACCAAGATCAAAGTTTTGGCATTCCCTTTCCCTGGTGGGCTCGAAAATGGCCGCTTTACACCTGTCGACGAGCCCGTCGATGTGGGCACCTTTGATGTATCGTACAACGATAACTTCATCCAATTCCCAGTTTGGCCCAGTGATGAGTTCACTGCCTACGCCTTTGAGATTGTTGGATCTCAGTAAAGAGCCCATAAAAATTCTATGGACATTTTTGGGGGCAGCATCATGGATGTGTGGCTCATCAACAAAAGCTTTGCAAGGAATGGTTGATTCTTTTGGGCGACGACGGCCTATCACATGTCGCTGCTGAAGAAGTTGCGGAGATTCCTCATCTAATCCTCAAAGACAAAGCAATCTTCAATTCTCTCTGCCTGACACAAGCAACATCAGGTTTTACAAATGTTATTCAGAAAACAATAAACAATCAAAATTTTCTCTCAATCAAGTACAAGGCGCTGTGTAAAATGAAGAAACAAGGGGTGGTAAGCTGACTTCCTCGAAGCGGCTTCGAGTAAATGAAAATGCATGTACTTCAGGTGATCAAATAATTTTCAGCTGATATCAGTCTTGATGATGTTCACAATTACTTGAAGACCCTAGCCTGGAAAATCTTCCTCAAGGCCGGTTGAGTTGTTGATAGAACCTTGAATGTCAAAGCCAGAACCACGTGATGAACAGATACGGCAGCTTAGAGTGTCTTGAGCACGCATGTAAGTACTGTGTGCCTAGGTATGCTTTGCCGAATTCGTCCGGCCCAAAACACATGAGATCGCACTTCTCGAGTTCTATGCATCGATCACAATGTCAGCTCACAGAACCATACCAGTCATTTTGCAACGGTCTAGCAATGATTCGAATCGAGCTACAAGACCGCAAACATTTCAACCACGGCCCATCATCCTGCGATTCCCCACAACTTTCCGTCTAGTCTTTTGCAGAGTGGATATGTGGAGATCCCCGTCCGCTACCCCCGCGAAGCCGATTTGTCGATGTCTCTATGCAGCCTACCGCGCCAATCATATAACATTATTGAAGAGATGTTTGGGGCTGGAACTTTCTCCTTTCAGCTCCTTGCTGCGGGAGCATTAGGCATTTAAAACTAGCTCTGTTGGCTCTAGGTACATGGCCAGTTAGTCGTCCGATTATCTGCTCCAACAAGCCTCAGTGGCGGGGTCCCCTCGTATTGGAAGCTAGTGCGTCTTCATTCCCCAGAAATTCCTTGTAAGTGAAGAGGATAGAGCTAGGAACGATTTGTGGAGGTGGAGTCTAACGCCATTGCGCCGAATCCCTGGCATTGAAGGTACCCCGATCTGGGTACACACTTGTGTCTTTCCCCGCGATGCGGGCGTGATGTTCCCATGAACTGTCTCTCTCCTGATGAGCCCAGCGCTGGCCCGGATATTCACCTTTGAGCTCACCATGCACAAAAAAAAAAAAAAGAAAGAAAAAAAAAGCTCCACCATCTGGCTTGATTAGGCGCCTCGTCGTGTTCTTCATCACACGGGAAGTATGATTCAAGCCGTCAATGGTTGAAGGACGCGAATCAGCCTAACATGAAGAAGCTATCACTCTCACTCGCCAGCCGGACAATGTGGGGGTGGAGGGCTAGATAGCATGTTAATCCTAGAGCACACATACAAGCCATACGTACATGGTTGAAATGTACTTTCACATTCCACGTGGCTCTCTCTTCAGTAATCTAACGGCTACGTAACGCCTGACTGGCACTTGGTTAAGTCGCGTGCGAATGAAGCAGGAGTATAAGGCTCGCTGAGAACCTCGTCGCCCAGGCCCTTACTCGGACTGGACCCTTGGACCCCTTTGAAGAGTCATCGTCTCGAAAAGGCTTGATATTGCAATCAAACTCAACTCGCCTCTACTTCTAGCCTCTCACAGGCCAGTATCAGCCGTCATGGCAGCATCCAATATCACGGTGGCTCAAGGGCATCTTGACAAGACCGACATTGTCAGCCCTGAGTTTAAGAAAATGGTTGAGGACGCCAAGGCCAGCAACGAGGCCGACGCGCAGCTAAAAGTTCGGGAGGCTCTCAAGAAATACAAGGCTGCCATGTTCTGGGCCATGCTTCTGTCTGTGGCCTTGATTATGGAGGGTTTTGACGGCAACATGGTACTTATTCCATAGGAACAACTTCTCCCCCCACCATTCCTATTCTCTACTCATGTTGTCGTGGGCTTGACTGACGTACACGCTCTTCCCTAGATGAGCTCATTCTATGGACAGGCGCAATTTCAGGCTCGATTCGGCACCTACAGTGAAAAAGAAGGCAAAAATCTTATC